CTCCCTCCCCGTCTCCATGTGGTCAGCCCCTTCACACTCTTCATGTCAAGGCTCAAATACCACCTCCCTTCCTACAACCCACCGTGAAGGCAGTGCCCACTCCACAGGCCCCTGCCCCTGCCCTTAGCCGCCACTCAGCCCCTTCCATGGCACTGCCCACAGCTCGCACGTCCCGGTGTATTTGCTCACTTGGGTGTTGTCCACGTTTCTGGCCAGACATGGCTTCCTGTGCTTGCTTGGTTCTTATCAAATGCCCAGTGCCTAACACAGTGCCTGGCATCTGCATGGGCACAGGACGAAGGCTTCCCAGAGGAGTGGATGAATGGGAGTGGCCACTGCTTCGCCCTCCACTAAAGACAGACCGAGCAGGTTCAACAGTGGGTCACACAGCCGACAGATGAGAATACGGGGCCATGACCAGAACCTCCAAGAGATAGGAACTGAGGGCGGCAGGGTTGCAGGGGGGGTCCGGTGGACTGAGGGCTGTGCTCCAAGGGCTATGGAAGAGAGAAGGAATGTCCAGGTGCTGAAACGGGAGGGAGGCCAGACTGTTCTCCAGGCTAACAAACCAGTCTATGAGCCCCATGGCCAGGCCTGGACCCAGCCCTGGAGGAGGAACTGGCTATGGAAGGAAGACCACAAGGAGGAGCCTGAGGGCCCTCGCCATGGCACTGTGGGAGTAGGTAACACGGGTCAGCTCATCAGTCCCCTGACAGCTCTGACGTGGGCACCTATGTGCATGCCCAACCCCCAGAGGTGGAGCGGCTAAGACAGAGAGGTCGCACAGCACTGTCAGTCAGGCAGTTCAGCCAGGTTCACTGTAGTCATGCTCTTCCGTCTTGTACGAAGACAGACAATTTAAAAAGGAGGGTGCTTTCTGCTGAAAGTAACAGGAATCTCACCTCAAATGGCCTCATCAGTCCTAGCACCTGGACGTCGGAACAGAGGCAGGTCCCCATGTGGATGGCCGAACCACTCTACCAAGTTCATACCTTCTTTCTCATCCTAAGGTAGTGGCCCAGTGGTCACAGCCCAGTGGTATCCACGCCAGCTCTCACTTGCCCCAGAGAAAGAGGGCAGGGCCAGAGCCAAAGGTCAAGGGTCAGTGTTGGTCACAGCCTCCACCCCATCAGTGGTGGGGCCAGGAGCACAGAACATGCTAGTCGATCTAACCGACTAGCATGAACTGGTATGGGACAAAGTTACTGTTCATTATTACCTGGTTCTTTGTGGGATGAAGGGTAATTTTCTCTCGGATACAGCTTTCCTTGATCTGTTTCTTATTATATCACATATAGACATATGCATCTCTCTACATATGTGTGTACACACATTTTCTACGTATGTATGTGTGTGTGTGTAGACAGGTGGAATGCAGAGAATATGTCACCTGACTGTTAACATTTTCAATATTTTAATGTATGTCTTCGCAGTTTTGGGGGCTCTTTTGCTTAATAAGCAAGGGGACTTCAAAAAGTTCATGAAAAGTGGAATTACAGCACAAGTCTATTTGGATGCATAGTTTTTCATAATATGCATTTTCTGTGAACTTTTGGAAGACCTCCCATATACTGAGAGGTCATAAACATCATTAGGTATATTGGAGGTTTATTTAGAGAGATTTTTGCTATAGGGCACATGCACTTGCCAGAGAGACAAAAAGGGAAAAATCACTCCCCAGGTGGATGATCACACTGCAATCCCTTCTCCATTCTCCCCTCCGGGTTCTGGGCATGCATGCACACACACCTGGCATGAGTTTTAAGCTGCCAGGTCTGGGACTCAAACCATGATCAACTATGTGGAAGTCCAGCAATGTAATTATTATGCCATCTGCTGGTCCCAATGTTATTAGATACTCCAAAAGATCGTTTTGAAAAGCTCCCTGGAATTCTATTACTTGTATGTGTAATAGCATAGTTGATCAGTCCCCTCTTCTTAGACACTGGATGACTTCTGACTGGTTGCCGTGTTAAATTCCCACTCACATCACAGAAGGTACCCAGAAGTCTAGGGTCACATTTAGTGACAGAGCTTTTGGTTAGTGTCACCCAGTTGTTCTCTAGATGGAAGATACAGGTACAGTCTCTCCCTTGGCGTAAGAGTGTCTTTCTTTGGCCAGCAGGCGGTGTGGTGGTTAAAGCACTGAACTTCCACATGGCCAACCACAGTTTGAGTCTTGGACCCAGCAGCTTGAAAATCATGCCGAATGTGTGTGAATATGTGCCCAAAATCTCAGGAGGGAAAATGGAGGAGAAGGGATTGCAGCACGGCTACCCCCCCAGAGGGTGAATTCTCACTTTCCCTCTCTCTCCCAGTTTCTCTCTGGCAAGCACATGTGCCCTATGGCAAAAAACCTAACAAAATTAATTAATAAAAATAATTTTAAAAATAAAGTGTCGTTCTCATTGTATCTTCTCCAACACTGAGTTTTATCACTGAAAGACATCCTTGCCACTTTGTTGAGCAAAATCAAGTGCCATGTTTTTTAAGCACTAGAGAGGAGGGCATTGTTTTTCATGTTCATGGTATTCTTTTTTCTTCTAGAAATTGCTTGTTTATATCTTTACCCATGTTCCTGTTGAGCAGTAACCCCCCCTCTCCAATCCAGCTTGCTGACCCCTAACGGTGTCTAAGTAGAAAGCATGTCTCACTTGTGATTGACTTGGTATTTACCACGGCCACCCACCAGCTGTCCTCTGAGGCCTTTGTTTGTGTCTGTCTTTTTCAATAGGTTTTGAGCAACTTAATAACAAAGACTGAAGTGTCTATTTTCGCGTTCCCATAGCACCCAAGGAGACATTTTCATTCAAAAAAATATTTTGGATACTATGTAGGTGCTCAGTAATCTGTTATTTGCTCAGTCGGGTGGGTTGACTGTATTTAGAATTTCCAGAAGTCCTGGCCTCCGTTACTAAACTTAAATTTAACAGCATATTCTAGTAACAGTGAAAACAGTGTCTAGGAATAAGCACAAGAAATGCGCAGGATATATACACACACGCTCAAACATGCATAGACACACCGTCGCACACACGGCACACACGTATAAATTAAGATACTAAATGCCAAAGTTTAAAGATAGTCAACCAACTGAGACATTAATGATTTATGTAAGACAATGAGCTAACCTCCCGAATACATGAAGACCAGTAAGCTGAAGGCCAGCAACTAATTGAAACATGGGGAAAGAATACAAACGAGCTTTCTAACATTTATGAGGATGCTCAATCACACTCCTAAGAGAAATGCAAATAAACTAAATGGAGTTCCCCTTATACTATCAATCAGACTGGCAAAAGTAAAATGTTGGAGAACATTCTATATTGGCAAGCCAGTGGGAAATAAGTGCTGTCATTCAGAGCTGATGAAAGTAGATGTTAGCGCAACTTTTATGGTCAGCACTAACTGGTAATATCAATAAAAGACGTAAATAGGTATGCCCTTTGGCCCAGCAATTCTGCCCTGTAGATACTGTTGCACCAAGGCAAAATGGTCTATGAACAGAGTTATTCACGGCAGCATTGTTTATAATGGCCTAAGACCATTAATAGGAGCTCATTAAATAAATAATAATAAACCCATAAAATAAAATACAATGTTTAAAAAGAATAAAGACTAAGGCTCTGTCTTTGGCTATGATCAGCCAGGCGCAGCAAACAAATGAACACTTTTGTTTGCATGCACTGGAGAGTGACTGAAGCAGCCAGGACTTGAGGGCCTTGGCATCAGAGAGAAAGTGAGTCGACCTACCTCCTGTGACATCACAGTGACGTCACGGCTGTTGTGAGCAGAGTTGCCGAGAAGCTGAGCAGAAGGGGCTGCTCAGAGAAGTTTTCAACACTATCATAGGAGGAGGAAGATAAAAATCGGAGTTCAGGGACCAGCAGATAGAATAATGGCTATGTCGCTGGACTCACACGTAGTTGACAGTGGTTCGAGTCCTGGACCTGGCGGCTTAAAACTTGCACCAGGTGCATGTGCGTAAGTGCCCAAAATCCCGAAAGGAGAATAGAGAAGGGATTGTGGCATGACTGTCCCCCTGGGAGGTGAGTTCTTGCTTTCTGTCTCTCTGTCTCTCTCTGTCTCCCTGGCAAATACACGTGCCCTACAGCAAAAATCTCTCTCTAAAAAAAAAAAAAAAAAAACAAAAAAAAAAAAAAAAAAAAAAAAAAAAACAGACAAAAAAAAAAAAAACGAAGTTCAGGTCTACTCATGCAGCCAGGACTTGGGGACCATGGTCCCAGGAGAAGAAAGGACTCCAACAGTCTCAGGCATCTCTTTGTAAGCAGTACAAGGGGAGTACAGAGAGGGGCTTCTAGAAATCTCAGCAAAGCTGTTGGAGTTCCATGAGGCTGCAGAGATAAAGAAGGTTGGAGTTCAGGGCCTGCCACATCATAGGGCCCCTGGGAAACACCCAGAGTTTTCATGCAGACCCTGAAGAACAAGCTCTTCCCCAGCTCTAGATTTAACTCTAAGAGACTAGACGTCTTCTCCTTGAAGTCTAACAGGCATTGCAGACAGGACTCAAGCCAGCCGTTGCTCTCTCCTGCTTGGCCCTTCCCTGCCCCCCATCTTGGCCAGTGCACCCCCACCTTCTAGACAGTGAGGGGAGAACCTGGGCTCAGCCTCGATCCTCTCACCACATATTCGATCTGTCAGCCGCTCCTGTTAGCGTCACCTTCAAAACACTCGCAGAATCTGATGCTAGTCCCAGCTTTGGCACCAGCCATGCTCCGAGCCGCTGCCTCCTCCCGCCTGGAGTATTACAGCAGCCGTCCAGCTAGTCTCCTGGCCTCCACCCTTTTCCCTGGAGACATAGCCCTGCCAAAGCGAAAGCCATTTATGCCAATACCAGGAGTAAAACCCAGCAAAGAGCAATACCAGGAGCAAAACCTCAGCGTGACCGACAGGTCCTGTATGATCTCCTCGCCTAAACCTTTTCTTCTTTTAATAAAAAGTTTTATTTTAGAATTTTCTTCAAAATTGCCAGAGGAGGGCCAGCAGTTAGCGTAATGGCTATATCACCGGACTCCCATGTAGTCGACAGCGGTTCGAGTCCTGGACCCGATGGCTTAAACTCATGCAGGGTGCATGTGTGTGCATGCCCAAGATCCCGAAAGGAGAGAGGAGAGGAGAGGGGAGGAGAGGAGAGGAGAGGAGAGGAGAGGAGAGGAGAGGAGAGGGGATAGCGGTGTGGCCATCCCCCCTGGGGGGTGATTTCTCGCTTTCTATCTCTCTGTCTCTCTCTGTCTTCGGGCGGCACCCGCCCCCTATAGCAAAAACCCCTTTAAAAAAAAAAAAAAAAAACTGCCAGAGGGTGTGTGCACTCACCAGAGAGAGAGAGAAGGAAAAAGCAACCCCCAGTGGGGCATGGTCGCATAGCAGTATCTTCTCCTCCATTCTCCATCCTGTTAGGATTTGGGGCATGCATTACACATGCACCCAGCTTGTTTTTCCAGCCTTTGGGGTTGGGATTTGAACTGTGGCTGGCCATGCGGAATCTGGCTCTCCTAACCACTGAGCACTACAGAGCTAGCCCTATTTTAGAACGTCTTCAGATTTATAGAAAAACCATGAAGACGGCTCAGAGTTACAGCACCCTGCACCGGCTTTTCCCCATTGCTAACTTCATACGTGAGTGTGGTACATTTGTCACAATTAGTGAACCGACATTGTTCATAACACTGTCACTAAAGCCCCTACTGTATTTGCATCATATTCTCTTTTTTTCCTATGATGCTTCTTGCGATTTCCAAGCCTGCCTGAAATATTGGTCCGTGTGACCAACTACTTACGTTACTAGTGTTGGTTAGAGTAATTGTGAAGTGTGTCCCAAGACCACACCAGCCAAAGAGCGGACACAGACCCATGACTAAAGCATCTCAGCTGAGATACCATAAGCAGAAAATGCCAGGCCAGGTCAGGCTGCAGCAGGTGCACGCACTGGGCAGAGTTGGGGCCTGCATAGAGGACGCTGTGCCTGCGTTTGTCCAAGCCCTGGCTTGGTGGAGGCCCCTGTTGAGCTAGCCATGAGTCTGCCAGCAGGTATAGGAGACATGCACAACAGGAGTTCCAAGGAACAGCCCAGTGACTTTTTTCCCAGGCTGCCTGAAGAGCTAATTACCGAGGCGGAAGACTGGCGACGTTGCTTGCCGCTGCATGTACTCTGCTTCCCAGGGGAAATGCTATTTCGAGTGTGAAATCACCGCAGGGGTTGGGGGAGAGGGCTCCAGAATCACCCTGAGGCCTGACCTGGAATGGTCATTCCCCAAGAAGAGCATAGCAAAGGTCCTGCAGATGCTGACAGCCCCGGGAACAGGGGCAAGCAGCCCAAGGACTCTGAGGTGTCTGGGTACACTCACCCTCGCCTGACCTTGGATCGCCACGGAGGAAACTGTGCAGGAAGACCTCAGTAAGAACACCCTGTCAGGTGCTGGAATCTAGCCCCTCCCCTTCGCCCTCCACAAAGCAGCACCTTGGTTTCTGGATCCTTGCAAGCCTGCACCTGCATGTCCCCTCCACCAGCAGGGGGCGCCTTCCTCTAATTCTCCAGAGGTCCCCTCATGCACCTTTCTAATAGCAGAGGGCAGCCTGTCCCTTAACGGGCTGCCTCCATCCCCCATCTTCAGAGCAGGGGTTCTGCCTCCAACGTCGGTTTGAGTCATCATGTTGGCGAGAGAAGCCCCTCCAGTGAAGCCCTCTGGTGAGAGGTGGCCCTGAAGACCCCAGGTCAGAAGCAGTGGTCTGATGTCCATCCTTGCCTCAATCCCCTCTTGACTCCCATGGGTCACTGAGAAGGAGGCCCCTAGGGATACTAGGCCACAGTGCAGGTGGACCTAGGCTCAAGCCCCAAGTGCAAGGACTCTGGTAAATGAGGAGTGGGGAGGCAGCAGGTGGAGGCCCCCCCAGGGCATTGTCCTGAGGATCAGCACCACTGCCGACGTGGGCCCCTCCCTCCGCCGCCTGTCCTCTGAAAGGCCTTTTCATCCCAGTGTCGACAAGGCCACTAGCCGCATCAAAGAACGTCTCTGAAAAGTCATATTTTTCCCCAAACCAGAAAAGTTCAGGCTCAGAGCACAAACATTCAGCTCATTATTTAGAAATAACAAGTCCTCCGGGTCCTGGTATCAGATCAAAGCTCAGAAATTAAATTCTCCAGAAAAGGAGGCGGCCTGGGATCAGCAGATTTGTGTTTGCTTATTTTTTTTCCTTCGGCAGCTAAAAAAAGGGACTCAAAATCTGCCTAGCGGTTTGGAAGTCTGGCCTGGGGTTTGTGAGCCCGGGAGGAGACAGCGGCTCTGGAGGCTTCTGGGCGTGGAGGCTGAAAATATTTGGTTGACATGACAATGGAGACAGCTTGGCAGTTTATCAAGTGCCGGCCTCCAGGAAAATCCTGTCCCGCTGCCCCTTCCCCCTCACATACAGGCACACGCAGGCACGCCTCTCACACACGCACGCCTCGCACAGGTGCCCCCACCCACAGGAGCACATGTCAGAAGGGCACACGTGCTGTGTCTGCATCCACATGTGCACACAGGGACATTCTGACCGGAGTGCACGTGCGTGTACATGGATGCGTGCGTGCACACACACACACACACACACACACACACACACACATGCACATACACAACCTCACAGCAACCGACGGGAAGGTAACTCTTCGCTCTCACTCCGGGAACCAGGACTTGGGCTGGCCTGAAATTCATCCACAGCCAGCTCGGCCCCCACCCGCTTCTCCCAGCCCAGGCCCAGACAGACTGTCCCTCAGCTGCAGGCCACTTCCGCGTCTCTCCACTCTGAGTTTACTGTGCTCCCCCTGTGCCCCATGTGGCCCTCCTCGTACACCCCACTGCAGAGCTCAAAGATGTAGAGATGGCAGAGGGCATAGAGCAAACAGCCCTACTGTTGCCTGGGGACACCCTTGTGACCTCTGCTTTCAGTTCTCTTCATCTGGTGCCTTGATGAGATTCTGAGTGGTACATGTTCGCAGGGACTGAAACCTCTAGGAAAACGAGAGAATAGCCTGTTTGGAGGACAACAGGGACAGCGGGCTGCCTCCACATCCCCCTCCTGCTGGCCCTGTGCGTGGTCTAGGTAAGTGTCCACTTTGGGCACAGTGGGTGGGGCACCTCGTCTGGTCTAAACCAGTCACCACAGTCCCGCCCACTGTCTATGGGGATTGGTTCATTTACAGACATAGCGGTCTCAGCCAATGAGATGGCAAGGTGTTTGCAGGGACTCTGGAAAGAACCCCAGCCTTGTGAATGCACAGCATCAGGGTGCATATCCAGGCCTATAGCGCCAGGATGAGGGAAGATGGCCTGGACAGGATGGAGACCTCAGAAATCCTAGGAAACCAGGTCCTCAATGACATTGCTGAGGGCTGGATCAAACCCACCTAAGGTTCACCTGGGCTCCCAACCTGCCAGTCTCAGGAGTTTGTAAACTCTGTGTGTTACCTAGGGTAGGTTGAGTTGGATTTTCTATAAATGCTACAAAAGACAAGCACGGTGGGTGGAGCCATCGGTCCGTCAGTCCTTTCAGTCTCCTCACAGTGAAATAGGCATCGGCCTTCACAGGCTAACAGGCCTGCAGAGGTGTCCAGCAGAGAGTGCTGTCCACAGGCGCTGCATAGCCTGGTCCCACTGAGCCTTCAGCCTGGCCCGCCCTCTGTCCCTCCTCGGGCTCTTGTAACGTAGGCCATCTCCCACCCTCCTGGTTGGCTCTGCCTAGGGCACTCTTCCTACCGGCCTTCTGCCTCTGCCGCCCTCATTTACAAACAGGTGAGGGCATTTACGGCTTGCCCAGACACTCTGGGATAATCGCCTCATCGCAGCACCCTTAACTTAATCACAGTGGTAGTCTTTTTTTGCCGAACATTCCAGGTTCCAAATTGCATATCTTTTTTCTTTGGGGGTGGGGCAGTATTCTGTCTCCATCTGCGCATGTACACACATCAGGGACATGTGTGTGCACACAGACTCTTGATGCATACCTGCCCCGTGTTCACCTGAGAGTGCGTGCAGAGATGCCTGGACTCCCAAATAGCAGAACCTGAGGCAGGGAGGGTGCAAGCACGCTTCTATGCTCTGAGTGTCTCACACAGGACCTCCTGCCACTGAGGAGTCCTTGTCCTTGTCCCTCACAGGGACAGACCCTTATTTTTATTTATTTTATTTTTAAGAGAGATTCTTACTATACTGTGCATGCATTTGCTGCAGAGACAGAGAGATAGAAAGCAAGAAATCACCCCCCTGGGACGGGGGGGAGGGATGGCCATGCCACGATCCCGTCTCCATTCTCCTCTTGGAATTTTGGGCACACATGCCCAGTGTGAACTTCAAGCTGTCAGGTCCAGGACTTGAACTGTGGGTCCAGGACTTGAACTGTGGTCAGCCATGTGGGCTCCAGACCTTTGTTAACCCTGAAGAGACTTTGTTGCAAGTATCCAAGTCCAGTGTATAGAGGCTGCTACCCCTTTAAAGTTCTCCCAGAACTCCTGTCTCTCAGTTTAGCAGCAAACACAGAGCAAATAGAAGAGAAGAAATGAGAGACAGTCAGAATGCTGACAATGTGACTACTTTTTTTCTCAAAAAATGATAAAAATAGTGTCATAGACAAGTTCGTTTTCTAGGCAAAGTTATTTTAGGCAATGTGTATTAATGGCATGAGAATTAGTGCAAATTAAGTAATTAGGCAAAGGCTGGCAGCTAGAACTGGCAGGTGCTAATGACGCGTGATTCCATGGTTCCTGTGCTTCCCAAGGCTTCGCGTGGACAGCGGCAACTCGGGGAGCATGCCGCTCCGCAGCAGGTACCAGGGCTGAGGGAGCTTCTCCAGGCCAGCTGGGGCTTTTTTGGGACACCTATGTCTTCTGGGCTTGGAGACCCTGGAGACTGGGACAGGGCAGCTCAATTTGGACAATGCCACATCAGGCTCCGGAGCAAGCCCAGTGGGCTTAGGGTCATCCTCGGGGGCTTAGATGGAATGGGACGCCCCCACTAGCTGTCTGGGCACCACCCTTCACTCTAAACAGACCTTCAGGGCCACAGGAACCATGAGACTCACAGCCGTCACCCAGCAGCCCATTCTCCTGCAGGGGTGTCCATGTGTTCTGGTTTACATGGCAGGGGTCAAGCTTTTCTGCCTCCAAAGGTGTCTGGCTTGGCAGTGATGTTGACAATGTCACCTTTGTGGCAGACTGCTAGCCCTTTCACGGATGAGAAAACTGAGGCTCAGAAAGATTAACTGGTTTTCCAGGGCCACAGAGCTAGGCTTGGGGGAGACCCTACCTCCATCCATACTCTGTCAGGTTGAGGGAGGGCAGGACTCAATGCAGGTCCACTGAAGAGCGCCATGCTGTGTGGGAGGTGCAGAGGGCTGCATCACAGGAATGTGCTGGCTGTCGGGGAAGCGTGAGGGGCAGCCCCCTGGAGTTCTCTGGGCTCTCAGGCTGCGTGTCAACTGTGCCTCAGCCTGTTTCCTCCGCTACAAAAGAGGGCTGTAGGGTTGTCGAAAGGATTGGAAATTTCATGAGACACATGTGACAAGCTCAGTAGTGCCCATTGTTGCTGCCACTATTGAAAACCTCTGGACCAGGGCCAGCAGGTGGCATGGTGGTTGGGGAGCTGGACTCCCACGTGGTCGTCTGCAGTTCGAGTCTCAAACCTGGTGGCTTGCTGTCTCGCTTTCCCTATCTCACTCTCTGTGTCTCTCTGGTGAGCATAAATGCCCTATAGCAAATTTTTAAAGATAATTATAAGTGGGACCAGCAGTTAGCGTAATGGCTATGTCGCTGGACTCCCACATAGTTGACCATGGTTCGAGTCCCAGACCTGGTGGCTTAAACTCACGCCAGGCGCGTGTGCGTGCGTGCCCAAGATCCCAGGAGGAGAATGGAGGAGAAGGGATTGCGGTGTGACCATCCCCCCTGGGGGGTGATTTCTTGCTTTCTATCTCTCTGTCTCTCTTTGTCTTTCTGGCGAGCACACATGCCCTGTAGGAAAAACCTCTCCAAAATAATAATAATAATAATAAGTAAAGTTAAATAAATAATTTGAAAGAAAGAAGGAAGGAAGGCAGGAAGGCAGGAAGGCAGGAAGGAAGGAAGGAAGGAAGGAAGGAAAAAAGAAAACTTCTGGGCACAGCCCAGGGTCTCACTTTCTCTCTGATGTAGTGTGTTTTTCAGAGAAACTTGGCTTTGAGCAGAATCTACTTTCTTCCAAACACTCAAACCTGCTGTTATTCACTTGATTCCCTAAGGACAAAGAGCTTCTCTTGAGCTTGTTTCTGCCATGTCCTTGCACAGTGCCCAGCACATAGTAGACACTCAAAAAACATTGACTGGGTGTTAAAAGCCAAAGATTGCCGCCTGCACCTGGCTCCTCTTCCATCCTGCGGCCCCTCCCTCCCCAGGCTACTTTAAGCAACAGATGAGAGAAAACACCTTTTTTGCATCCCTCATCAGTGCTAGGAAATTTCCAGACCATGCCACCATCTGGAACCTGCCATCTCCCCACAGGAGCCTCCAACAAAGCCCTAAGTCCCCAGGCCCAGCTGCCGCATGACCATCTCTCTGAAGGCACTGGCCTGAAAAGGAAACAAGTGGTCCCACTTTGGATTTACCCCAACTCGGACCCTAAAACAAAGGTTTGGTGCAGGGGCTGTTTTGGGACGTGGTCTCAGGAAGCACAAGGAAAGGGACTTGTAATCCATGGAGGAACAGATTCTGCCTCCAGGCAGCCAGGGCTCCACTGAGCTGGAGACGCCGGCAGAACTACATGCAGTGTGCCTCCACGCCATCCCACAGAGGGATGAGAACGCTGGGTTTCCCTCCTGGATCCCATCTGTCCTTGGTCAGAAGTTGCTCCTGGAGGCGTGAATACCCGCGTACTTCGGGACTGCTGAGTGAAGCTGGGCAAGTGTCCTTGGTACCACGGAAGCCCTGATTAGCAAGATGCAGGTACTCAAGGGGGGAAGCAGTCAGGGTGCACGGGAGCGACCCCGTGCAGCTGCAGATGAACTCTGAGGTGGGCCATAGAGCTGTGGGGTAGGACACCCACAGTGTGTGCTAATGACACACACCCCGATGGAGAGATGGCGCTGTCTGCTTGGCACTCCCTGTACCTGGCACAGAGCAGGTGCTTTGGTGAATGTGCGGCACAACAAGGGTACAGCACCATTCCCCAGGGGGATGTCCGGAGAGCAGGAGTTCCCTGGCACACTCCAGAGAAAGGGTGTGATTCCTAGGACTGCTATAATATGTTAGCACAAACCAGGTGGCTTAATGCAACAGAGACGTGTGCACGGTTCTGTAGGCCAGAGTCTGAAATCAGGGTTGGGTCCTTTGAGGGCTGGGAAGGAGAATCTTTCCAGGCCCCTCTCCAGCTCCCTAGTGCTGGCCAGAAACTCCCTGGTGTCCCTCGACTTGAAGACAAATCACCGCAACCTCTGTCTCTGTCTTTGCATGGCTTTCTTCTCGCTGCACCTCTGTCTCCATGCCTGAAAAGGACACCTGTCATTTGATTTAGAGCTCACTCTAAATCCAGGATGATTTGATCTTGAAGTCCTTAACTAATTACATCTGCAAATACCCTGTTTCCAAATAAGGTCACATTCTGAGGTTCTGGGTGGACATGAAATTTTGAGGGATATCATCCAATCTAGTATAAGGTTTTTTGAGTCAAAAGGTTTGGGAAGGCATTGTTCTCGTGTGCTAAAATGCATCACAGGGTTGGGCCAGCTGGTGGCATGGTGGTAGAGGCAGCTGGATCCCACATGGCCAACTGTACAGTTCAAGTCCCAGATCCAGTAGTTTGACAAACATTCAGCATGTGTGTAAATGCCCCAAATCCCAAGAAAGAATGGAGAAGGGATTGTAGCATGGTCATTCCCCAGAAGGGCGGTGGTGGTGGTTGTGATTTCTCACCTTCCCTCTCTCTCTCTCTCTGTCCCTCTGTCTCTCTTTAATGAATGCATGTGTCCTATGGCAAAAACAATTTTGGGGGGAGAGGTTTTTGCTACAGAGCGCATGTGCTCGCCAGAAAGAGACAAAGAGACAGAAAGCAAGAAATCACCTCCCGGGGGGATGGCCA